ATATATTTAATTCTGATGCCGTCAAAAAATGTGTTGTAATCATAACGGTAATCCTAACTTCTAACCTTAGAAAACTGTGACATAATTTGGGGAAAATTATATGAAAAGTCGCCTGATATCCCCGTATGCAAGTCGCCCCTGAAAAAAAAAAATTGTTTCGTTTTAAGACTGAGAGACTTTATTTTACTTTATAGAAATGTATGTTACTCAATTCATCCAGTTCATCTTCAGAATAATCCAATTTCAGATCACTTGCATTCACATTGAGCGGAACAAGCCAACTGTTTAGGTCCAATATTGGCTGGAAGAGAAATTATTCACAGTTAAGGAGGCCTTTGAACTTGAACAATCCACGAAGTCGAACACAATTTCATTATGAAATCGTGTATCATAACAAACAACTTGTTTAATATTAGTTGAAAGTCGTTTTTTGTAGTAAAAGTTGCAGGCGACGAGATTTTTCAGTTTTTGAAATTTGAAAATAAACACTAACCACGCTATGAAAGGGTATTTTAAAAGATATGCAGACCAAATTACTCAAAATATTATAGCCCTTCTATTTGAAAAACCACCTGTAACCCTCGCTTTCTTATTTACGCATTGAAAAAAAAACCATGAAAAAACTTAAACAAGGATGAAAGACAGTTAACTACTGTCAGTAGCTTTCCGCACACACCTATCCGTACCTTGTACGAAAGTTATTTCCACAGGAATAATTGCAACAGAGAGATGTTGTTTCGCTCAAGTTGTACACTCCGTATCGGACAGGTGCTTTTTCGCGCCGCTACGGAAAACTACCCGGTATAGTGTATAGCCTCAGTGAAAACCAGAAAATCGCACGGCGTTATCGAATCGCGTTCCGTGTGTCTCGGGGTCTTTTAGAGACTACTATGATTTCACCTCACTGTATGGAGCTCTGAACCTACCTGTCCTTCATCTCCTATACAGACAGACTCCTCTAAACTCGGTACTGTGATCAATATACAGCCTGATTTACATATATTGCGTCTGATGTTCTGCCATGTGCTATAAAGTGGTAAATTGTAAAATTGAACTGTAAGCATGCATCAATGGATTTCTTGCATCAACCCATTGAGTGGCAGCACTTTCCCCTTGACAAGTAAAATCGTCTGGCATTAGACAGAGTAAAATGACAAAGTAGGGCGCATCAGGGCACAATTAATGTAACAGGGATAAAATTGCTTCAATTCTACATCAAACATATGAAATCTTCAAACCTTATTTGTACATCTCTTTGTAGAAAGAACTCAAACGTGTTGTTTAACAAAATTACATCGGCTACAAAGATAAAATATAAAAAAATAACCACGAGGTTTTACCGTCGGTTACTTTGTTTAGTACTTGAAATATCAATTCTGCTCTCCTTCCTCCACTCTAAGCTTTCAAACAAAGTTATTTTTCCTCAACCTGGTCTACTTTATAGCCGGTTATTTTTGAAAACGACGTACTATTTTTAAAACTGATTTAGTTATTTGTCAACCATGTTGTTCCAAGTTGTTACAGTTGAACAATGCTGTAACAACATGTTGACAATACTGTTCATAGTGGGCCGCACAACCTTGTTCACGCTTGTTGATATCAACCCGGAACAAGTTGTTGATTTTCTCAATTTTTACGCGTGTACTTGACCAACACAGCCATCAAAATAATTCTGAAATCCCTAACCCTGTTAAATTACCTTGGTTTAAGAGTTCACCAACATTACAAACATCACTACAAACAGTCTGTGAAAAAAGATAATTATATAAAAGACGGCGGTTACGGTTTTTTTTTTAATTTAATAAAATTCCTACCTCTATTCTGTTTCCAAGTGCATATTTGTGTATAATTTCGTTTTGTATATGACAAAGTTCTGCATTCATTTCAACTCCAACTATCTTGTTGAATTTACTAAAATAATAAGCCTGAAATTAAATGGGAAAATTAATGTGGACCTTCACTTGTCATTACAGTCGAACCCCCAATATTATAGAGGTTCAGATTTGAGTTCCATGCACTATCACTAACTGGCTTAGTACACATGTGATTGGTTAATCGAATATATCAAACGCATCGGATTGGTCGATGGTCCCTTAAGGCCATTTTCCACTTCGTCCCACATCGTACCGTAACGTACCGGTGAGCATGCGCAGATTGAAAAGGTTGATAAATCCACGTACTTCCGGTGTATTCGCGTATCAAAATAACAAGTTCGTCGCCAGCCAACTTTTTGGCGTACTACGGGACGTATTAACCAATCAACATTCACTAAATTTTGAAACTTAAAAATGTTTTTGATACGTTTCAGTACGGTACGCTTGATGTGGAAAACGACCTTTAATGGTAGCGGTAGTAGAAGTCAAATCTGAACCTTTGTTTAAGCGGACACTTTTGGGACCTCACCAATGTATCCGTTTAAATTAAAATACTCTTTACCACCCATGCCTTACAATCAAAACAGTTACTCACCCCAAAGAGTACCGCCCCCAAACGCGAACCAACGTCTATTAATGTTGTATTTGTAAAATCTGTTATCATTCTTGGAAGAACAGTTTTGAAAATGTATTTCATTTGTATGATGGACATAGAATGAGAAATCAATGCTAAAATGAAATACAAACAAAGTGTTGTGAAGCCTAAATAGTCTGTACAAACTTTTGAACATTTTGCTAAATGTACGCTAAAAGAACCAATTTTTTTGAAACACGATTGAACTCTTTGTTATGTTTTTAGTCAGTTGTTTGTTTTGCCACATCAAGATGTCAGTTAAAACCAAACTGAGGAAAAAATTCCCGAGTCCCATATGAGGTCTTGAAAACCTAACCCCCAGAAGGCTAGCTGGTCTCAAGCACGCTCTAAAATTAGTGCTGTGCGCCGGAACACCGGAAATCGGAGTTCTGCCGGAGCTCCGGCGTTTTATGGTCAGCCGGAGTTGCGGTGCTTTCTCCCAGCTTTGGCTGGAAAGTCAGAATGACAAGAAATGTGAAAATTTCGTAGAACAGCGTTGGTTACAAATAATGACAACATTGAATTTGTTGAAAGTACATATAAATCTGAAGTCATATCTGTTGTGTCAAACCATTTCGCCATTTCCAGCTACTGCAAACGGCCAAATTGTGACTGTGATCTATCTATCACAGGAAAAGTTGTAAATTGCAAGCGTCATACTTTGATGCACTGGATCACGTCAGCTTACCTTGGGGACAAAATTGAGCCAGGGCGCTATAAAACACGGGCGGTGAAACGGAGATAGCGCCCCTGATCTTTGTGTGATGCGCGTACCCCCCGTATACATTAATTTAATGTCAATAAAAATGGAATTGGAATGTTTATGCAAAAAAGAGCTGAAAAAACTAAAGTAAAAACTGTTTTCTGCACATTCCTAAACAACTTGATGGTTTGAAGACATTGTTGGATTCATTTTCTGTATATCTGATGAAGGAAAGAGGGCTTTAAAAAGATTCATCATGAGTGAAATAAAAATTTGAAAAGGAATCGAGCTGATCGAATGTGGGCATACTCCAAAAATATTATACGAAAATTTTGGTATGAAATGGGATATTTTACTTCATAATGCGAAGGTAGGATAAACATTTTCACAGTAAGAATATTCTGACATTGCTTGGCTATTATTTTTCAATAATTATATAGCCCAAAATTGACCATGCATGCATTTAAAACAGCTAGAATTTGAAAAAAACAACTACAATTTGTTCGAACAATTTGAAAACTTAAATATATAACCGTTTTTGTGTTAACCATGAGCCGGCCTGCTCGGAATCCATTGAAAGTTCATTGTAAAGTGTTTTTTATTAATTGATTTAATTTCTATTATTGGTATAACTAACTGCCGCCGACACTCCAAAAATATTCAGTGTGAATCTTTTTTCGTGCGACTGCAGTCGTTGACATTTAATACAGTGACAGTGTTACGGAAAACTATAAAGGCTGCAAAATACCTCCACTTTATGAAAAAAGCACAAAAAAGCCCCGTTCAATTTTACGTGGGACATAAAGCCAAGTTAAATGTCTAAAGTTTGGTGTGTTCAAATTTATCTCAACCTATCTCAACGAGGAGAAAACACTATTTTAAATACGTCCGCGCTTTGACAAAAAAGAAAAAATGTCGTCAAAATCGAGTTCAAAATGCATGTCTTTTCCTCAACAATCGCTTTGTTCATTTTGCAAGTGAAATAGATACCAATTTTAGCAATATAAGCTGATACTAGATACTTCAATAA